CTTAGATCCTCATAATGCTGAGAAGGGTTCAGTTTAACAATCTTAGTCATTGCATAAAGTGGCTGTTATTGTGTACAAAGTCCTCTTGGTTCTGCTCACTTCACTCACCATCAGACCATATAAGTCTTTCCAGGTTTTTCTGAAGTCAGCCTGTTCATCATTTCTTATAGCACAATAGTATTCCATTACATTCATATACCACAACTTGCTCAGCCATTCCCCAATTGATGGGCATCCTCTCAATTTCCAATTCTTTGCCACCACAAAAAGAGCTGCTATGAATATTTTTGTACATGTGGGTCCTTTTCCCATTTGTTTGATCTCTTTGGGATATAGCCCTAGAAGTGCTATTGCTGGATCAAAGGGTATGCACATTTTTGTAGCCCTTTGGGCATAGTTCCAAATTGTTCTCCAAAATGGTTGGATCATTTCACAACTCCACCAACAATGTATTAGTGTTCCAATTTTCCCACATCTTCTCCAACATTTATCATTTTCCTGTTTTGTCATGTTGGCCAATCTGATAGGTGTGATGTGGTACCTCAGAGTTGTTTTGATTTGCATTTCTCTAATCAATAATGATTTAGAGCATTTTTTCATATGACTATAGATGGCTTTAATTTCTTCATCTGAGAACTGTCTGTTCATATCCTTTGACCATTTATCAATTGGGGAATGGCTTGTGTTCTTATAAATTTGTCTTAATTCTCTATATATTTTAGAAATGAGGCCTTTATCAGAGAAACTGGTTGTAAAAATTCTTTCCCAATTTTCTACCTTCCTTCTAATCTTAGTTGCATTGGCTTGTTTGTGCAAAAACTTTTCAATTTAATGTAATCAAAATTATCCATTTTGCTTTTCATAATGTTCTCTGTCTCTTGTTTGGTCACGAATTCTTCTGTTCTCCATAGATCTGATAGGTAAACTATTCCTTGTTCTCCCAGTTTACCTATGGTATCAGCCTTTATATCTAAGTCATGGACCCATTTTGACTTTATTTTGGTATATGGTGTGAGATTTGGGTCTATGCCTAGTTTCTGCCATCCTCTTTTCCAGTTTTCCCAGCAGTTTTTTTCAAAGATTGGGTTCTTATCTGGGCAAATTATTTAACCTCTGCCTCAATTTCTTCCCCTGTAAAATGGGTACGATAATAGCAGCCACCTTCCAGAGTTATGAGGATTAAATGAAATAATATTTGTTAAGCTGCTCGGCACAGTGCCTGGCACATAGTAGGTACTTAATAAATGTTCATTTCCTTCCTTCTTTCTATCCTTCCTTTCTCATCCACTTTGACTCTTCTGCACCATTTGGTACTTTTGATCTCCCTTCTTTCTTGATACTTTCTCCTCTTAAAACTTATGACACTTCTCTCCCAACTCTTCACATATGAGAGACAACCAGATAAGGAGACAGGCGAGGTGGGGGCAGGGAGATGGTCAGAATAGAAGGAGAGGGACACAGGGGCTGAGGCAATGAGAGGAAGGCAGGCAGCCATGACGTGGACAGATAGTATTAGAGTCAGGACAACTTAGATTCAATCCTCACTTTTGACATATATCATCTGTGTGACCTTGGGCCAATCATTAAATCTCACACTGTCCCTATCCCTTTCCCACTCTCAAACTTGAATACTGTGAACTGCAGAATAGTTGCTGATCTATAGCAGCTAGAGAGGGCTTTCTCACTGGGAGCTCCTAACACCAGTGAAATCACAGGGCTAAATAACAAAAAAGAAGTGATATATGTGTATGTGTGCATGTGCACACATGTTCATGTGCACACACTATAAATATGTTTATCCATCATAGTTTAAATGTATGTGAGGGATATGTGGGTATGTGGTGTTTTCTTCATAAAGATTATGTGTGTCCACATAGGTCTGTCTAGATGTGGCTCACAGAGAACCAAGAACAGATATCTTCAATCTCCTCTCCCCACCCTTCTCTAAGGCAGACTGATTCCTGCTAGGAGGGGAAGCAAGAGGTTGGGGACAGAGGCTGGCCACTCTTTCCTCCTCACAGAGACGGCATTACCGCACTGCACTTAAATCTATCTTTTCCCTTAAATATTGTTTGTCTAGGGAAAATAATTTTTAGGTTCAAGCTGAGCTCCTGATTGCTATCCCTTAATGGGAAAGGAGTGTCCCAAGCTATATATCCCTTCTTCCCTCTTGGTCCCATTAGTCTTTTGTTCCCTGCTAGAAAAGGGACTTGCTTCTTTTGCTCTGTTATTCTCCTCCCTCTCTGGGTAGAGCTGTTTAATTTAATTTAAATGTAATAGGAGATGCTAATCACAGATCCCCACTTTCTGCAGACTTCCTTGTACTTTCTCAAATCTCTTTCCCAGCTCAAAAGACAATGTAGTTTTCTACATAGCAATGTAATTTCATGCACATATTCTAGATTCAGAAATATAAGTTCAGAGGCAAGAATTATACTGCTAGAGGTAAGCAGCTAAGTGCATTCTTAATACTAATAAGACGAGGGTGACCAATAAAAATTCTGGACCACTAAAATGCTTAATGTTCAATTTTATTTTTAAGCTATTTTCATACTTGTTGTTATTTTATTACTAGTGGTGGGAATAGAAATGATATACAGTAAGGACCTTAATTTATTCTTGGTAAATAAATTATGTTTGCAAAATGAGTGAGCCCTAGAATTAAATTCCCATGCACTGTTCTCACTATCACTTTTCCACCTAAAATTTCTACCACTTCTTCAATAACCTTTTAACACTGGATGAGGAAAAAGACCAGAATGTGACTATGTAAGAATAAATAAAGCACCAACAAAGAGAAAGCTAAGAATCCAAAAGGCTGTGCCATTCTACTTATGGAGATAGAAAAGATACAATACATTCCAAGCATGCCGGCTGAAAATAATAACATGGGTCTGTAAACAAGTTTCATTTTTGTAGTTGCACAATCTAGACATTCTTTCTATTATCGCCAGTGCTGCTGGCCAGATGTCAAGGGCCAAACTCCGGTACAGGTAATTGAAAGAAAATGTTAGCTCCATGTAATTTTTATAAAATTTTCCAGCAAGTGCCATAAAAATGTCAAAAATTTTCCTTCAAATTTACAGTATTGTCGTCTAACTCTCACCTATGGCTCTAAGAAGCTGTAGCATGCACAGTGGCCACACACCCAGTAAAACTGTCTTGGCAGAAGGGCTAGACCAGGTTGAGGGTAATCAAAAGACCTCAGACCTGTTGGTGAGTTGTGGGGAGGGGTGTCTATTCCAAGCATGTGAAGACTTCCCTCAGCAGAATGGGTGGATGAGAACAATTTGTTCCAGTGTCCATGAAGGTTGCTGAAACAGGGGCTGTGGAGCACTCATAGCTTAGTCAGACATTGAAGACACCAAGGTCATCCACTGCATCCCAGGCCATCACCAGTCATCTTGACTTTTGTCTTGCCGCTGGACTTTGGTGACTCTGGGAAAGAGAGTGAGGCTGATGACTTTGCACAATTCAGCCTTACTTAGATCCAATTAACTTGCAAGCCAAGACATCACTCATGATGTCATTGGTCATCTTCAGAAACAAAGGACTGGGGAGGGAGGCAGGGAGGTAAGGGGAGAAAATTTAAAACTCAAAAGCTTATGGAAGTGAATGTTGAAAACTAAAAATAAATTAATTAATTTAAAAAATAAAAATAAAAATGAAGGACCAATAAATAACAACAACAACAATCTTTCTCGAAAGCCTTGTGGAAGGCTTACTGCTGTATGTTCCCGGGTATTTGAGTGTCAGGTGATTCCTAAAAATCTTCTAAAAACATAAATGCTAGAATTGGAAGGAGCTTTAGACATAACCTCATCTAACCATTTTATTTTACAGTTGAGGAAATTGAAGCATAGAAACATTAAGTATCTTTTTCCAGGTCTTACAGTTACCTAGTGACAGAGCTACATGAGATAAGACAAATAAATTTTCCTTGTCTTACTATCACAATTTGGTTAAATAATGTGCTCTAGCTGCCTCACACATAATTACCAAATGACTATGGATTTTACATATAAGATAGATATATACATATATGTATTATGTGTGTTTAATAAGACCATTTAGTGCAAAACATTTTCCCCAAACCCAGAGAACACTCTATCACAAATGCACACATCCAAGGGAAAGTAGGCTGTAATTTAGAATACAATGATAATGAGAACATACATAGAGAACACATATACACATATTCAGATATTCAAAGTTTATGTAGTATCAGATCTCTGGAGGTAACAGTCTCATTTGAAAAGACTGAGTGGAGGGGCAGGTAGGTGGCACAGTGGACAGAGCTCCGGTCTTGGAGTCAAGAGGACCTGAGCTCAAATCCAGCCTCAGACATTTGATATGTACTAGCTGTATAACTCTGGGTAAGTCATTTAACCCTGATTGCCTCACCAAAAAGCAAAAAAAAAAAAAAGGCTGAGTGGAACAGTATAATTACAATTATTTCACAGCCCTTTCTATATAGTCCATAATAATGCTAACCCCAAAGACAGAGATACTTAAAAGAAGTGCTCACAAGAAGATCTTAAAACATTGACAATGGGAAACTACCTTGCTAGTGATTTTGGGAGAAAAAAAATGAGGTGGGTGGGATTTCCTAATAGGAGACAGATTTAATTCTCTGATACAACTTTCATGGAAATAAACTAAAATGAAGTTGCTCTTTAGTCAATGTAAGATCACAATTTAGCCCCTTGAGCTGTGAAAGTTTATTTTCTTTACCAGCAGACCATGATGCCTTAAAAGAAGGAATCTCCTAAAATCTGTGTATTTTATTTGGTTACTATTATTTTGTCTTCTTTTAAGAGTGAGGGTGGCATCTTGTGGCACAAAAACATGCTGCTGCAGTAAATCTATTTCTCCTCTATGGACAATCTTTTTTTTGCAGATGAAAATATTCTTGTTCTGAATGGAAATATATAAATTTTATTTAAAAAAGAAAAAAATTATGTATATATGTATGCATACACACACACACACACATATTTCCCTAGGGAACAAATTGTCTTCGGGGGAAAGAACAAAATGGTTAGACAGATTTCTCCAAAAGCCTTTGGCAGCCAAACCACACCAACAGTATTTCTCTTGCATAACAGCCATCATGACTCCCAGGGCTTGCTCACCAGTGCAGGCCTTTCTTTTCAGATTTCTGGAAATTTTCTCTCCACTCTGGTGCTATGAGAAGAAAATATTAATTATCATCATTCCAGAGTGATTTTGAAGTGGACAGTAGCCATTAAAGTCTCCCTCATATGTCTGAACAATGAGCAGAAAGAGGGTAGGTAAACGGAGGTGGGGGAAGAGGTAAAGAATAAAATTATTTCCTTGGACTTTATAAAGGAAATGGAATTGAACAGAAGGTATCTACCTGATATGGAATCTAGCCAAAGGGCTGGAGTTCTAATGGCTTTTATGGGGTCAGAATGTTATTGTCAATTTGAGGAGGGGGCATTCAAACAGAATACTGTTTATGCACCTACACACAATGCTGCTTATGTGGGTGGTGTTTTCCTTGTGTTTGAGAGTGGCAGATAAGTCAGTGTGACTTCATGTTCCTTCCCACATAGTTTATGTAGAATACTATCCAGGGCATAGCAAAGTCACCTGGTTATGGTGGTACAGTACAGGCATAATAGATAATAAGTTGGGCTTGATCATGACCGAATAAATGCACCAAGAATTCTTAATTTTGTTGATGGAACATTCTCATACCAATAGACATGGCAACCCATTTGCCAAGAACCCAACACAGTCATGCTGCCCTCTGGCTCTCCAGTATCCCACATTATAGTAGTACCTTATCAAGTCTGGCCTTCTCTAACCTCTCATTCTTTCTGCTCTTTGTAAATCTATCAAAATTGTCACTCCTTTCTTCTATCTCTGCAAGGAAAACAATTTAAATTAATTGCCTCTAAGGTGTGAATACTTCATTTTCATCCTCCACCCTCCCAGGAGCAGAAAGGGGGCATTTTAAAAAACTTAGATAATTCTAATTAGTGGAATTGGGAGAGAAGCGTTTCTTAACACAAAATATTCAACTTACTTGGTCTACTCTAAAGCCAGCCCCGAAGGAAAGGGGGGGAATGGATTCTACTTCCCTTTCTTTTAGCTGTGGAGAGGAAAGAGAAGAATGAGCCCTTCTGAGTTCTCCCAAAGACTCTTGAATATTCACTCCCTTTCTCATTTAAAATAGACTGCATAGTCAACCCTGCTTTTCAGCAAAGAATATCTACTGACCAGGTATTCTATATCTAAAAGCAATGAATTCTCCTTTTCCCTTCAGCTCCTTCCTCAACTCCATTTCCCACAGCTCCCCCAATTTTCTTAGACTCATGTGACCATAACTTATATGCATAACCTGCTATAGAAGTGAGGAATCTCGGCCTTCCTTGATCCTTCTAGGTTGCATTTCTAAGAGTATTCAGAGGGCTTCATAAATTTAAGCCTTATTTCTCACCTCCTTCCTCTTTCCAGATGACCTCAGAAATTCCTAGTGTGACCCTATAAAAATAATACTAATTACAGTCATTTAATTGATTTACTTGTCAATTATGCCTAATTACTGTAAAGAACAATAATGATTCTATATAGGACCCTTATATCAGGACTGCCTCTTAACAAGAAAAGCCTACATATGCTTTGTGAGATTTCTCACTTCTCTTGCCCGCCGTCCCTACTCAGATGGTCATTGGTCCTCTTCTAGAATGAAGGACGAACAACAAAAACAATCTGGGGACTTCCGGATCTAACATGCATATCCCTGCTAGGGTATATAATACCAGCTCCCCTTACCCAGCATTCAGGTTCACGAGGCTGAAAGTATGAACAGATTTATTTCCTAGAGTATTATTATTATTATTATTATTATTATTATTATTATTATGTTAAGGTAAACAGAATATAAATGAAAGTCCATAGAAAATACCAGTGAGCAAGTTCCCTTCCAGCTGCCTGTACAGCCCCAATGTAGCCATAACTATGGCTTTAGCAAGGCTCCCAGGGGTAGTTCATCCACATATGTCTTCTCCTCCACAGCTCCTCTGACTCTTTCTGCCACTCGTATGGCTATTGCCACTCGTTGGTCCCGTCATCACCCATTTTCACTGTTCTGTCTTTCTCTCAGCAATCCATATACGGTTGTTATTTGTTTTTCCCATAACCTATTCCTGTCTACTTCCTCTGCTGGCCTGCCCATATTTCCTGTAGTTCTCCTCAAGTTCCAGAAGATGGTGGTCATTCCCTTCCCCAGGAAATCAGCTCTCCTCTCTACCTATGATATAAATTAAAACACAATTCTATTTCTCTACTCTTTCTTTTATGTCTCTGTTCCTTCAGCTCCTGGCTTGACTCATCTAAAGTCTCCTAAGGATCTGGAAAAAAACCAAAACAAAACACATTTCATTGGGCCTTACCAATAGGTCTGACCCCCACCCCATCCCATGTAGGCCCATGATGACATCACAGTTTCATATCTTCCCTCTCTCAGAGCCCAGACGGCACACTTTCCACCCACACTCATCTCTTCTATGGTGTCTAGAGGCTCAAGATAGCATTCCACTCCCTTAATTGTCTTTCAATTCACCACAGTCTCCTCGAGGGAAATTGGTCAGCAGTATCCAAATTATCCAGGACAATTTCCAGAAATGTCAAGAGGAAGTGGAGGGGGGGCATTGGGGAAAGGAGGGAGGGAGTGAACTGGGAAGGAAAATGTCAAGTCCCTGACACATACGGATCCTTCTCCCCAAGTTCCCACCTTAGTATTATCTTTGATTCCTCATCTCCCCTTACTCCACACTCACATACCTTGTTGGTTCTGCTTCCATATCTCTCACTATCTGTCTCCTTGTCCCTGACACTGCCATTGCCCTAGTTCAGGCCCCCATCATCCCTACTATAATAGGATCTATTACAATAGCAAACTAATTAGTCTCCATCCCTCAAGTCTCTCCTTCATTCCAAAGAGTCCTCCACAGAGCTGCAAAGTAGTTTTCCTAAAGCAAAGGTCTGTACATGTCATTCCCCCACTCAATAAACTCCACTGGCTCCCTATTGACTCTAGGACCAAGGATTATTTCATATTTCATCTCATCCTTTTAAAATTTCTACTGTTGATTAAGTTTTATGATGTATACATCTGTTAATACAGAAGAGTAGTACATCTATATAATTTTACAAATAAGTAAGTGTACACATGGTGTAGCTAGGTGGTGCAGTGGATAGAGTGCTGGCCCTGGAGTCAGGAGGACCTGAGTTCAAATGAAGCCTCAGATACATACTAGCTGTGTGACCCTGGGTAAGTCACTTAACCTTGTTTGCCCCAGTTTCTCAACTATAAAATGAGCTGAAGAAGGAAATGGGAAACCACTCCAGCAGCTTTGCCAAGAAAACTCAAATGTGATCACAGAGAGTCTGACATGACTGAAATCACTCAGCAACAAAATTTATACATAATAGAGGTGCATATTCAAAAAATTTTAATGATAGAGTGAACAATCAAAAAAGGTTTAGAAACCACTAATTTAAGCAGTGTGTAGCCCCTAAAAGTTTTTGAGTAGGAGAGTGTTGTAGTCAGATCTATACCTAAGAAGGCTTATTCTGGCAGCTGGGTGGATGAATTGGAATGATTTGGAAAAGAAGAGTTACTGGAAGCAAGCAGTAAGAACCAATTTTCAGGTCACTACAATAGCCCAGATGAGAAGTAATGAGGTCCTGAACTAGAGGAGAGATGGAGATCAATGCAAGGTGTAATGGAGGTAGACTTGAAAATCTATGGCAATTGATTGAATACAGGGTGGAGAGGAGGAAAAAAGAAAAATTAAAGAAGATTCCAAAGATAATCCCTTAATAGGATTTGGGGAGTTTAGAAATGAAATGGGTAAAAAATAATTGGCTCTGTTTTGACATTTCCCCCTTCTTCCCTTCACATGGAATGAATAAATGAATGAATGAATAAAAACTAAGAAAATCTCTACTTTGAAGGAGCTCATATTCCAATTTGGGAAAGAATACATATAAGTTTCTTCTTCAAAGTAAGATAGAAAGGTCCTATGGCACAGCAGCAAAGCAGATGGTAATATGTCTTTTTTTATGTCTTTTCCATTGACATAATCATATCTGCTTCAGTTGTTAAATGTGGGACTTCACTGGCAAGAATTTTCTTTTCCACGTGTTTGGTAGCTGTTGTTGGAGTTCATTTGCCAGGTCACATCTTCACATGAATTGCTTCTTAGAAAGATGGTTGTAGGGGCTAGATTAGACATAGGACTTGTCCTGGGGCTCTTGGACTTATCTTCCAATAGGTTGCAGTTGGTTAGCAATGGATGATGAGCAAAAAAGCTCCCTTCTCCACCGTAATTGCTTCCTTTAATGACAGCAATAAGGGTTTGGACTGGAAGCTGGACTGGCATTCTGAGGGTACCACTATTCTGAAGGCTCTGGGGTTCAGGGTCTAATACTGTGTCCATCAGGATGTGAGTGGAGATGGTGGTTGTGGTGGTGGTGATGGTGGTGGTGGTTCGACTTGTCTGGCACATTCCACCTCCTGTCTTTTCCCTAGGATGTCCTGCTGCTTTAGATAGGCTGGATTGGCTGCCCTAAAGGTGTTATTACCATCATTTATAAAGTCTTCCACCATTTTGTTACCCATACTTAAATCATATCTACCTTCAAAGCCAAGCTCCACTGTCCTCCCTGTTCTCTGAATTATTTCACTTTTAATTTGTACCACAAAATTTACCATTTAATTTTTGCCTTATATTGTTTTCTAAATTGTTTCTTGTATGTCAGCTCTTGGTTTTACAAGCACTTTGAGGACAGGGCTGCTCTCTGTTTGTGTTATCAAGAAGGGGTTGAGAGAATAAAGCCCATGTGCTGCATTTCCAATGCCCGACATATAGTAGAGACTATGATAAATCTTATTGGATTAATCAATAACAAAGGACTTGAGATACAATCTCTAATCTTAAAAAGAATGAATCTATCATCAAAGAATTTTGGGAATTGTAGTAGACTGGTGTGGGAAATATTTTTAAGTATGGGAACCTTCCTAGGATACTTGTACTTCTCAAAACATATGGTGTGGGCCACATATGTGTCTGCATAGGCCTGACACTGGCCAGACCTATGAGGTCTCTACTCAAAATCCTTCAATGGTTTCCTGTCACACACTAAATATAAATAAATATTAAATAAAATCAAAATTATTTCTTACCCTGGTATTCAAGGTCTCCCAAAAATTGATGTCTCTTACCTTTCCAGGCTTGTCCCTTTCCACGCATTTTATGGGGTCATCCAGACTTGTCAAAAATGCAACCCTTGGCCCACATGTCCACAACACTACAAGTAGAGAATGAACCAGGTCAAAAAGTATTTGATAAATACATAACAAAACAAATAAAAATACAACAAAACTTAGATAATGTTAATACATGATTTTCTATGTCAATATGCACCCACAGGGATCCTTATGGATGGTTTAGCAAGACACAACCAGGTGATGACAATTATAAGTCAATTGCTTGACATTTTCATAATCCTGTTGACAATAAGTTATCATACTGCAAATGCAGAACTGAAAATATCCTTAAGAATTCAACAAATAAATGGCACTGGAAGTAGAGCATTATCACAAACAAAATTGTTGCCTACAATCACCTGGATATAACATTGAGCCATAAAATCTTAAGAGCAGCAACTATAAAGATACCGTCATGCAAATACTCATAATCTCTGAGAAATGTAGAGTGAAAACCTTTCAAAATGCAGAGAACTACAGAAGATATCAAAACCAGCATGTAGGAACAGAGTGAAGTAGGTATGATCCTGTAATCCTGTCTACTAATAGAATTGTCCTGAATGCTTTCAGTGAGCTTACCAAAGATTATCTCAATACCTTTACTCAGTTACAGAAAACAGCCATTTTATATACCTGAGCAAAGGTCTTTAAAATATTACACATAAAAGAATAGTAGCAAGGGATCAACCTGACCAGTACCTTTCTATCTAAACTCCATTGAACTAAAATGAGGAGAGTGAGATGATGACTATGATGATGATAATAATAATAATAATAATAATAATAATGATAGCTGACTTTAAGGTTTGCAAATATTTTTTACATTTTACATTTTTTATGTATTACATATATTTTCCCATTTGATCCTCACAAGAGCCTTGTAAGGTAGGTATTATTGTCTCTATTTTATAGATGAAACAACTGAGACCAAATTAGGTTAAACAATTCACTCAGTAATATAACTAATGTCAGAGGCAAGATTTGAACACAGTCCTAATCTGATTCAAAAGTCTATCATCCTTTCTTCTAAACAACATTTCCTCCTTTATACTTAGTAGATATTTGTTAATTTAATTATCTTATGGGGAGGGGATGGATGAGTTGATCTCAATAGCCCTCTGCCTAGTTAATGTTATTGTAGAATTAATGGGGGGTGGGGGAGCTCGAATAATAATGATAAAGAGATGTTTAAAGTCTTAAACAAATGCAAATAATTGCCTATGCTTGTTTATGCTTTTTACAAGGATATTCCATGTCTTCTGGAAGTTCTTTAAAACCCATTCTCCAGTGAGTCACTTAAGACAGAACACATCTTTGAGGAGTGTGTGTGTGTGTGTGTGTGTGTGTGTGTGTGTGTGAGAGAGAGAGAGAGAGAGAGAGAGAGAGAGAGAGAGAGAGAGAGAGAGAGAGATTGATTCTTATACCTTACAGCCCCTTCTGCCCTCCCCCATGTACTCTGCAATCCAGTGATACTGGCTTCCTTGCTGTTCCATGCACAAGACACTCCATCTCTCAACTCCAGGCATTTTCATTGGCTGTCCTTCATACCTGTAATTCTAGCCTCCTTCTTCTCCACCTCCTGGCTTTCCTGACTTCCTTTAAGTGCCATCTAAAATCCCACCTTCTACAGGAAACCTTCCCTGATCCTCATTACTTCTGATGCCTACCCTTTGATTACCTCAAATCTATCCTGTATATAATTTGTTTGTGCATGGTTGTTTGCATAGTTTCCCCCATTAGACTGTGATCTCCTTAAGAACAGGAACTGTCTTTAGCAGTGATAGTAGTGGCTTACGGGATAGGGAATGTCCTCCTTAATAAATGTGCTTCATAAATCTTTATTGACTGATTGG